GAAGCGAAAATGAAAGTGAAGCGAAAGGTTACCTCATCAGCAATCTTGGGAAATGACATATCACCAGTTGGCTCCACTACCTGTGGAGACTTCCCCTTATCTGGGCGAGAAGACTCTGCCACAACGGGCAGACCCATGGGACCCTCTACAGAATTCAAGAAGCAACAAATCAGAAATAAATAGCACAAGCAAAGGTAAAACATCAAAAAATGTATTACCTTCCGGTTCGATGTTTGGGGGGTCGGCGCCCTGGGAAGAAGGTGGCTCTTCCATTGGTTGTGATGAAGGTTCCGGGACTGAAGGTTTCTCTGTAAGCATAGTCCCTTCATCAGCTGATTTGGACGAGGCAGCTTCAACAGAAGATGATGGAGCAGGAGCTGCCAACACCAAAGCCTTCAAAAGAGAGACTGAACTTTTCTGAGAAATTCAAATAAACCATTAGCACATAGAAAGTTATGTTTGTGAATAAACAGAATTCAATTACCTTTTTCCTAAAGATCAAAGTAGCGTCATCATCATCATCATCCTCCAAAACGGGAGATGCTGAAGCTGGCCGTTTGCGGCTTAAGGCACTTTTAGCTGTAGTAGCCTTGGCAGGTAGAGAAGTAGATGGACGAATAGATTGTTTAGCACGAGTAGGGGAGGAAGGATTCCTAGTGGACACAGGGGTGACCAAAATAGGAGAAGTGGAAGAAGTGTTTGGCTGATCCAGCGAATGGAAAGCACGATTGGCATCAGTTGCAAACAATCTGCACTTCACTTATGGCCAAAGTTGTTCAAAAAGGGGATGGATGGCACGGCTAGAATTGAAGGGGGCTAATGAAAACTTGCTCGTCAAAAGAAGGTTGCGAGCATCTATAGCTTGTGCCTCTACCCTTTAATGGTGTGAAAACGGTCTGTCAAATTTTTAGAGTAACAAGGAGGAACATGTCAAGTTTGGCCAAAACCAAGTTGGCAAGCAAAAAATTGGAGAACATATATTTCAACCCCAACTTTGACATTGGTTCCAGTTAAAATGTCATGGAACAACTCCCTCCCAGTCAAAAACTGAACCAAAACGAGCAAAGAGGCGCTCGCACTGCCCATAGTAGATGGAGTTTGCACATAATCTGGAGTCAAATGAGCAGGAAAAGGAAAGAAAGAAGGAATCGAATTTAAGGAATAAAAGAATGAAAAAATGTCCCTAGTGGACATATGTACAGGGGTCAGTGGATCAATGGCTAGCCCATAGCAGCTAGCAGAACAACTGGAAATGGATGGAGCACCAAGTGGTGGAAAATATGCTCTCAACCACAGTTGAGTGAACCAAAGAGGCCCACTGCCAATGGGAGATGCACCATTTTTCAATTGAAATTGAAGAAAAGCCATGCCTCTATAAAGGGCAGCCAAAAAGAAGGAACACAAATTCAAAGGCCTACCACGCGCTAATTCATGCGTTATGGGTAAGTAGCTCATGGAAGGTTTCATACTTGGCATGCAAAGAATATATTTACAAAGCTAAATCTGAAGGAATGTCACACGCTTAGCATGGGAAGGTTCAGCGCTTAAGTGATTATAAGAGGCTTGCAGGTTTGAGTAGGACTCAGTGAGTTTCTTGTTAAATTTCGGGGAGATATCGGAAATCAAAATACTAGGGAAAATGGTATCGCCCAAAGGTGGAAGATTTACTAGGACCCCAACATCTCTTAAAGTAATAAACATGGGACCAAGAGGAAAAATAAAAGTATTATATTCAGAAGACCAAAAACTTAAAGCAATAAAAAAAGCATTGGGTCAAAAATTGGGGGTTGAAGAGCAATTTCTAATAAATCAGAAATCCTAACACGATCAAAAATTGTCTTGGTAGGATCATGGCCCACAAGGCGAGCATGCCATATGTGAAAAATAACATCATATTTAGGCCAAGTGCGAATACCTTTTTCACGAATCGGTCTCAGCGGCAAAGAGTCCAGGAATTGAGGGCCTTGAGTGCAAGGGAACAGCTGGCCCTCCGCCACTTGTTCGACAGATTCGGCGTTGTTGAATGATGGACCCAGATAGAACTCATTGAGTTTGACATTGACTGGTGCAAGGAAGTTCGGATTTATATATGGCCGAGTAAGGATTTTCTGGAAATCTTCGAAGCTAAAAGAGTCATCAGATTGGGTTTGTGGAGCCACCATTGGGAACGAAATACAGTTTTGTTAAAATTTGCTTGAGAAACGTAGCAAGGAAGCAAGAAGATGAACAGTAATATTGCAAGAAAGAAGCGCGAAGTAATGAGGCGTTACTTAGTGGTGCGATGAAATGGCGTGTCTTTGGGGTTTATAAGGGTTTGCAACGTTGCACCTTTTCAGGCTATGGAAGGAAATAATGATTGAAATTCTTAGGAATTTCAAATGTTGTGGGAAATATATGGTAAAAATTAATAATTAGTATTAATTCTGCCATATTGGGGGTAATTGTTGACACACTAAAAGTGCAGCCCAAATCGAATAGCCCAAGGAATGAAGTCCAATTGAGGAATTCAGGACAAAGACTCAAACAGGATTATTAATGAATGCAGTGGAAGCTCACGAACATAGTAATGTCATCGCCCAAACTTGCAAGACGCCCAAAATCTGAGGGAATGGAGTGTCTTACAGTCGCCCAGAGCGATGACCCTGTTCTCACCCATACCTTCGAATCGCCCAAGATCTTAGCAAACATAAAATGTTATGGTTATCCAGAAATGCAGTTATTGAAACAGTTATTGAGTAACTATATTACATTCCACGATTCAAGGAACCCAATTGAAGGCGGTTGAACGACAAAGAGTAGTGGCAGCAGTTAGAGACGACAGTCCCACGACAAGTTAGCCACCATAAAGAAAATGGGTGGTTATGAAGCAATCAAACAGTTTCCAAGTGGTTTGTCACAAAGGAATCATCAAGGGAATATAAAAGGAAGAGAAGATATAGAGAAAAAGACCCTGAATCAAACACTTTCAAACAGAGAATATGTAATTTCAATTTCTTAGTTTAAATTTAAACATTTCTTTCAGTACTTGTATACTTGCGCCCCTTGGAGGCATTCTGTTTAGTTCCAATTGTAAATCATCGCCAATAAAACACCAATTTTTGGGACTTTGTCTCAAGAGATTTGTTTATTATACAATCGTCTGATCCCTTTTTAATTGTTAGCGACTACCCGTGCGAAACAGACACCCACAAAATTTGCCTTATTTTCCTTCCCAATTTTGATTTATATTAAGTTTTTGACCTTTAACAAATTAAATTATTTACTATAATAATATTCTTCAACATACAATCATATAATAAAATATTCTAAACACAAAACAATAAAATTTTATTAATACATTTTCCAAAAAATACTTTTCAAAATTTTATAATTTTTCCAATAACAGAAGACGAATAGGCTCAATTTTAATTCAGAAAAAAAGGAGAGAAACAAAAGTAATTAATATTTTTTTGTAAGTCCAGTTCGACAGTATCAATTATTACTTGCTCAATTTATTTTTATTTAATTCAATATTAAAATATACACTTATAAGCAGGACGGACTCAGATCTTTAGTATTGTAAGGTCAAAATTTTAAAAATATTTTTTTTAATAAACAATATAATATCAATGAAAATAAGTTAATATGTATTTTGGCACTTTGAAAACGTCGTATAATTACATCTTTATTAATATTATTAAATAAATTTTACTACTTGTATAGTTTTGTTTATCATTTCACTGGCAAATGTTGAGCTAACATTGAGTAAATTAAATTGAATATAGAAATTAAATGAATTGAAATAAAATTCAAGTTTAGTTCAAGAAGTAAATGAAATTCAAATTTAAAATAAATATAATTCGAAAGTAATTCAAATTGCATTTAATCCGTAACGGCCCTAAAAAATTTAAGTCATATTTCATGTAAGACTTCCGAATGAAACGATATAAATTATATTGAAAAATTTATCGTGCAAAATAATAATTAATTGAATTTTTTAAAAGAAAAAACGAGTAAGACGTCTTTTTTGAGGCGTACGTTTGATACATATTTAACTATTTTTGATATCTGTTTGGACCATTCGATATGAAAACGATATAATTTTCGAAACAAACTTTTACATGACATAGACGATTTGTGGATTCAGATAACATATGATCGCAAACGAATTTTTAAAATTAAGATATCATCGAAATTCTCAAAATATTAGTTTCAAACGGCCTACTTTAACATGTCATAACTTTTACTATAGTTGACCACTTCGTATGCCATTAATGAATGAAAAACTAGGGCATGAGCACTTCGAAATGGTATTAAGAATTCAATATTTTGATTTCATTTGACATCCCGACGATTACATCAAAATAGATTGTTAAAAAAAAAGTTTAAAATTTTGTGGAGTCATTTGACCCCACATGATCCCATGTGGGTCCGTCCCTGCTTATAAGAAACATATTTAGTGTACCTCTATCCTTCTTATCCGTTGCTACCCATTCAAGTCCTGATTAAGCCACTTTAAATGTAATTAAAATCATCTACTTTGTAGGATTTTTATTCAATTTACAATTATTTTGGATTGATCTATCTCTTCAAGTAAAATAAACTATCATTATGATTGAACAACGTACTATACTAATGAATAAATGAGGAATCCACTAGAAAGGAAAGTATAAATAAATAAATTAACAATCGTCAACAAATTTATAAATTATTCATAAAAAATATTTTAAATGAGAATGAAAGGCAAATAAAACGAAGAATAGGATTCCATGCTGGCGTTAAACGAGTTTACCAAGTTCAAACAGGTGCTTTTAGAATAGTAATATTATTTTATTGAAGACGTGAGATTGAAAAGAAGTAATGGAAAAATGGGCAAACGAACAGTGGAAAAAAAGAAAATGAAAAACAATACGGGACCATTAGAACATCAATACAGAGGAAACAATTAACAGGTGATTTTCCGTATAAACTTATCTCAGTTTCTCTCTCCTAAATTGCAGATAATTTATCTCTGTTTTTATTTTTTATTTTAAAAATTTCTTCCTTTTAGATCTTTCGATCTTTTCCTTCTGATAATCTTTCAATTTGGTTGTTTTTAATTCAATTTTTAATCGATTCTTGCATTTACTCTAATTTTTTTTCCCTCTGAACTTTTGAATTATTGTTGGGCTTTATTTGATAGATATACATAACCCACATGCAATGCATGCATTGTCTTATAAGGACAGAATCTTGGTGGGTTTTTGTTAGAATTCAGTTTTGATGACCGTTGATCACTTTTTATTTCATTTTATAATTAGTATTTTTTTTTTATTTCAGGAAAAATTAATTTTACTGGAATTTGATGCTAATAATTATCAAAGGTTGAAACTTGGGAATTCTTGGTAAATTTGATGATAAAAAGGTGAGGTTTTTGTTAGATTGTAATTTTGATGATTATTGATCACTTTTGAATGCAACTCTCAAAATTGTGTTTTTGTTCCTCTGTTGGTTTTTTCAGGTGTTAAGATTATTTTATTGGATTTTTTTTCTGGGAATTATCGAAGGTTGAAACTTGGGAATTCCTGGAAGTTTTGATGATAAAAAGGTGAGTTTTTTTCTATTTAAATTCTTTATCATTTGCTTTTCGGATTAGATGATTATGTTGTTTCATGAGGATTAGATGCATGACTGCCCACCATGTAATTCTGGCAAAAGAAAAATCTAATCTTTTATTTGGTGTATGGTTTCATTTACACTTACTCGATTTTTGGAAAATATATTAGATAATGAAATTTGAAAATATATCAGTTGTCTCGTTGATGAAAA